GCTAATATTATATTATCACAGAATTATTAGTGTATCTGTGCACAAGGATAAATGTACTGTTATTTTGTCAGCTAGTCAAGATTTAAGACACAGTTTTGAAGCTACACATGCTATTAATTTTGTTTTGCTTATGAGTTTATTACATAGTTATTTTGAACTGGCTCATTAGGTATCTGATATATTTGACCATAAATTCCTCATCTTCCCTCCTCAAAACACAAAACTTTCAATATAGAAAGCCCTCTACCAACATTAGCAGCCCAATGAAAAGTCTTTCCATTAAGAAAAAATTACTATTTATTTCAAGTCAATCATAGAAGGGCAAATATTGTATTAGTTCACTATTGTAAACAGTCAAGGAAAGTTTTATATATGGAAGGAAACTTTCTTTGTTGGTTACCATGAATGGAGGGGAAAGGAGGGAACACTGCTAGATAGGCAGAAACAAGTACTGATTTGGGTGAAGGGAAGGGCAATGTACCAAAAGTGAGTGACCAACATGGTGGCACTGAGGAAGAGGAAAATACAGGTTACACAAGAGGTACAGACAACAAAGACAAATCCTTTTAAACCCTTTTACATATATAATACTGCATTATCAGTGATAACACACAGTAATATACATGTAAATACATGGGCAGACAGGCTGAATGATCAGGAATGTCTAGGCAAAAAGGAATATACATATGACCATATATAAGGTTGGCACATGATATTTCTACATTCATAATTATATGTGCTGTAAGAATGTCCAAATATATAATAGAGCTAACAATGGGCAAAGTTATGATAACGTCTTGGCCACAGCCAACAACCCTGAGGGAGTGAGTAGTTAGACCTCTGGGCTTAGAACCATGGTCACAAGGAACATCAAGCTCAACTGGCATAATATACTACACAAAAACATCGTTCTACAACCCGCTTTGGTGAGTAGCCACTGGGGTCTTAAAAGCTTGCAAGCAGCCCTCTAGATGGAATAATGGTCTCTTCTCATCCTAAGCAAGGAAGAATGAAGAAAACCAAAGACACATAGAAAAAATCAGTCCAAGGGACTAGCAGACCATGTGAACCTAAACCTATATGACCATGAGACCAGAAGAACTAGATGGTGCCCGGCTACCACTGTTAACCACTCAGAAAGGGATCAATACAGGAGATCCTGAATAGAGCGGGAGAACAAGTGGAACAAAACTCACAATCATAAAAAAAGACCAGGTGTACTGGTCTGAGTGTCTGATGAGACCCCTGAGATTACGGCCCCTAGTTATACTTCAGGTCTGTAATTGAATTTATTCCTGAGGCTTATGGTCAAACAATAGACAGGCATATAGGATGAACATGCACATCAGATAGATACACTCCTTAGAGTAATGCGGGAGAACAGCATGGCAGTATTTGCACAGGGGATAGCTCAGGAAGCAAGAATGCATAGGAAGGAAGGACACAGGGAAGAGGTAACTACAGGAAGGAAGTGGAAAGAGAGCTGTTACATTGTGAGGAATTGAAGTCAATACTATGAAACAAAATGTGTATGAACTGCTGTATGGAAAATGAATTTGCTCTGTAAACCTTCACTTAAAACACAATAAGAAATAAAACAAAACGAAACTTAAACTAAAATCACCACCACAACAAAAATACTATTTATTTCAAGGCTTGTATCCTTTTTTAGGGGACAATGGTGATTTAGTGTTAGAATTAGAATTCTTACCTTCCACGCAGGAGACCTGGTTTGATTCCTAGCCAATGTACCTCATGCATAGCTACCCTTTGTCTGCCAGTGGAGGAGTTTCTAGAATAAGAATTCACTGGAACTTCTAGATGAAGACGGACTACAAAGAAAGGCTTCGGGATCTACTTTTGAAAATCAGCCAGTAAAAATCCTGCAAATCATGTTTGATCATGCATGTGGTAACTCTGAGTCAGGGCCAACTCTATGGAAACTAACAAAAATATAACTAATTTATATTGGCACACATTTGCCATTACTGATCAACTAGAACACTTTCATTTTGCTGTTCTCTTACTACCATGTATAAAAACTGAATATTATCTAGATCTCTTTTAAAATTACTTTAGTGAGGCTTTGATGAATAGAACTTAGTGTTGTCTGGTTCCTTAGAAGTCACAAAGGATAATCTCTCCTGAAGGCTTGAAAATCTCTAATAACTTCCTGGGGAAAAGACACGCCTTTAGTGGAATATTTACTGAGGCAAGAATCATCATCCTACAAAAAAAGTTTCCAGATAATTTTCATTGTTAGAAAGTCTTTCTGTTTGCGACACATCTGTCTTTTTGCTACTTTCATGTGTTGGTTTTGGCATGTCTCTGATGGATTCCAGACATGTCTATCTCCCTTGCACATACATGACAGCATTTCAGCACTATTTTCTAGCTAAATATTCCTATATCCTTCCAATTACCTTCATTTATCCAGTTTTCAGACTCTGGTGGTCATAATCTTGACACATGTACTTTTTTAGCAATGGCCCCAAACCAAACCAAAAACCACATCCACTGCTATCAAGTAGAGTATGACTCACAGGAACTTCCCAGAGAGTTTCTAAAGATGTAAATCCTTACAAAAGCAGACTGACACATCTTTGCTCCCATGGAACAGCTGGTGGGTTCAAACTGTTGTCCTTTTGGTTAGCATCCAAGCACTTTAACCACTATGCCAACAGGGTTCCTTTATAAGATGACACCAAGAACCAAATGTGCTATCAGTATCATTATAATTAAAGTGACGTAATAGGGTACTTGCCTCATGGCCAAAGTTTAAGAAAATGCTCAAAACCCAGTAATCCAGGTTAATAATATTTTAGAGAAATTTTTTTTTTAAATAAAATTGATAGTCCAATTAACCACAGTGAACAAACTATAAAAATTTAAAATATAACAGAAACCACTGGGTCCAGAAGCTGAGTGATGAGAATGAGGTAAGTCATGCAAGGACAGAATAGGATCCTGTCTTCATGAGTTGTAATTGTAATTTTAATATTTTCATGGAAAGCACAAAATATGGATAGGAAGAATTTTTGAGAATAAGAGTTTAGTTTTTTACAGGCACAGAGGTAGTTCATCTATCAACAATGATAAGCACAGAAACAATAATTTCTCTTTATTGAGTATGCAAGAGGCTCAATACCAATTTCTTTAGACATATTAATTTGAATTCTTGCAACAACATTAGAAAATCAATATTGTTATTCCTGCTTAAAAAGTGAGCAAAGTGAGGCTAAGAGATGACACATGCCTTGGCCAAAGTCACACAATTGGTATGTGTTGTGACAATATTTTTGTTCAAGTCTGTCAGCTTCCAACACCTGAGTCTTTTGCCACAAGCTTCCTCTCAGCTATACACATGCTCCCTCTACTAGGATCGCATAGTCTTTAGTGATATGAACATCAGGCACCACCTCAGCATGGATAAAATGGTCTAGAACATTCTCAGATTCACCAATCAGCAGTTGCTTGGTTCTAACTTCTTTGTGTGCCCTGGATGCAGAAATTAGCATTCCCAGTATTAAAAAGGATTTATCTCTTCTCTATTAGTTTGGTCCTTGGGGGACATTAGTAGTTTGCACTTATCTACTAACCTTAAAGGTTGATGGTTCAAACCCACCTAACAGCATTGCAGAAGAAAGGCTTGGCAATCTGCTTCTGTAAAGATTACAGCCAAGAAACTTTATGGAACATTTCTGCTCTGTAATACATGGGGTCACCATGAGTTGGAATCAACTCCATGGTAATGCGGTTGATTTTGATCACTATAAGTAAGAATCATCTCAATGTTTCACACACACACACACACACACACACACACAATTAGTTTACCAGCATTTTTGTTTTTAGATTTTCTTTTTCCATGTTTGTCTCTTTTGACAAGCAACTAACCACTCTTGGATGAATTGCTAAATTCAAGTATTCCTGAAATGACAAATATGACAAATAGGCTCTACACATATCAATTTCTAACTAAGATGTTCCTCTAGGATCAATACTAAAGAAAGCTGTGATGCTGCTCATTGCCTTTGCAGATGTTTGTCCCTCTGCCTAAAATGTCTTCCGAAGCTTGTCTTTTGAAAAGTCACCCTACACCATTTAAAATCCAATTCAAGTACTATCAGTTCATTTGTGAAATCATTCTGGAATCCTACAATAAAGTTAATCTCTTATTCTCTAAACATCCGTATAATTTTGCACATACCTCTGTTATATTTACTTGAAATTCCACAGTAACTGCTTCTATAGAGGTTTGTTTCCTAATCTAGCCTAATAAGCTACCCAAAGGTCTATAGTAGGTCAAAGTCATTTTGTTATCATTAGCACCTATTGAAGCACTTGTGCAGAAAAACAATCTCAATAAATATTCATAGAAATTATATTGAAAAACTACGCCATGGTTATCTCTGAAAACTATAGTCACTGGGAAGATTTAAGAAGACCAGTATTTACTAGGGGCTTATTTTCTCTTGAAGGGCTTAACTGAAATCATAACTGTTGAACTGAGTTCATTCTGAGTTCACTGAAAGTGATTCATTAGCTTTAAATTTCACATTATACTTTTTCTCTTCCTTGCAACTTGGCCTGTCCACCTTCAGCATAATCACCACCTTCTGCAATCATAGGACGTCTCATATAGTAGTAAGAAAAGTGGAGCCTCGAGAAGCCAAAGAACCAACCAACAATCACACAGCCAAGTGGGAGAGGTGAACTAGGATTTGGCTCTCTGAGCCTTTGTTACTCTTTCTAGTGCACCATGATGCTATTTTTAACTTGCTTATAGCTTTTTAAATTTACCAGCATTTTTCTCTGATTGTTAGGGCACAATATCACTGAAAAAGCTGTCACTTGTTTTGGGAAAGACCAAACAAGATCATTTATAAATTCAGTATGAGCAAAACTTTGTCAGTGACAAATAAAGCAGTAAAGAACAAGTGCATTTTCATCCAGATATACCACTTTTCAGTAATAAAATGATGATATATTGCACTGACCATAGTCTGTATTTTCCGGCTCCCAACAATTTGATGGCCAAAAATAGGGCGTCTGTGGAACCAAAGAAGTGAAAGTCATGTTAGACAAATAGCTAGGAGAATTTCTGATTTATTCTTTATTTTTATCTTCATAAATTATCCAGAAGAGTGGCTAATAATTTATGTTTTTAATTCAGAACCAGTATATAGAGAAACAATGTAAAGCTTTTTTTTTTTTTTTTTCCATATCTGCTTTGCCAAGAAATTGTTACACTTTTGCTGCAATTTTATATCAATCAATACAAAGGTAAAAGGTCTGATTCTATTATTCAAACAAAGTGTTGATACACAAAGACTGTAAATCTTAGGTAAAATATGTTTAAATGTAACAATTTGCTTTGCTGCATCATGTATCTCAACGCAGCCCCCAGGAGATCCAAAACTTCAACCATCAAAATCTTTTCCAGAGATTTGGAAGTCATTTGTCTAGCTCTGCTAATTATACGAAGCAGCTCTCAACATTATCCAACTAGATGAGAAGATTTTTCTCCTTTTCTTTTAAAAACATTACTTCATAAAGATGTTACTCTAAACTTTAAAAGTGCACAAACCAGATTCATGTTTTAAAAACTAATAATGCCTTAGTTGATTGATTTTAACAAATAGCAAAATTCTGAACCTGTAAAAACTGATTGACCAAACTACAAAGAATATGTCTAACCAAGAAAGTTCCTATTATTATCATCAGCAGTTCAGTTTTTCTAAAAGCTCTTTTCTAACCTTGCTTGTTGGACATGCTTGGCTCTGGACTATGAGCAAAGTATAAACATCTGTTGACTCTATGAAGTCTTATTCCTCAGAACAGTGATGACTCCAAGACTCAATGGAACAGTGACTGCAGATATCAGTGCTATGGGATTAATTACATTTATTGGTCAATTATATTAACTATCTGTGTGCCATGAGCATATTTGTGGTAATCTTGGTCACATACGAACAACATATTTAATAATAACTATAATTCTTATTTATTAAAATGTTAACCTTAGGACCACAAGTAAGTCCAATTTAATAATAAGCTGTTTTAAACTACCACTGCTTTGACTTTAACTGAACAAAGAATAAAACTCCACTATTTAAAATCTTTTTTTATTAACCAATTTGTTTCAATATTTAATTCAGTATCATCATTTCAGAAGATGATTTTGTATCTTAAGTATTCGGTGTAAAACTTCCTATGATTACTTACTTGCCTTGGGGTATAAAGGTTCTAAACAACTGGAAGGATCCCTAGTGGCACAGTGGTTAAAGTGCTAAGCTGCCAACCAAAATATTAGTGGTTTGAGTCCACTCAGAGGTACCTGGGAAGAAAGGTCTAATGACCTACTTCCAAAACATCAGCCACTGAAACCACTGTGAAGCACAGGGTTCTGACTGACAAGGGGTCACTGGGAGTCACAGGAGATTAGTATGGAAGTGAAGGGAGACTTTTAGAAGAACAAAAAATCTTTGAGAACAAATTTTCTTAAGTATATCCCGTCTTTGTTCTCAGTTTTGCTAAGCAAGTTCTTAGGCATCGAAATTACTCTTCAGTCAAATACACATATAGTTGCCATCAAGTTGACTCCAACTGGTAGTGACTCCATTATGCATGTCAGAGTAGAACTGTGCTTCTTAGGGTTTCAGTAGATGAGTTTTCAGAACACCAGGTCTTTCTTCTGATGCACCTCTGGGTGGATTCAAACCTCCAACTTCTTGGTTAGTAGTCAGGTGTGTTAACCATTTCCAATATCAGGGACTCACTATTAGATACAGAGCATTTGAGACAGTACTCAGAATAGGTGAGAAAAAAATATTCCAATATCTGGAAGTTGGACAACGAGGAAAATTTTCTAAAAAATACCTCCATTACATAGAGTTTGAATTCTGACATTATAGGTGCTTTAATTTTATAAATACAATCCATTAATCAGTTATTAATGAATAATAAAGTCCAATGAAATGTAGAATACACTTGGCATAAATCATTGTGAAGTTTTAACTGAATTCACAATGACTGAAATGAGAATCTATGATCATTTACTGACAGAATACTTGCATCTGTCTCATTTGAAAATGATCTGGAATGAATTTTGTCATTTTGCAAATTTTCTAAGTTGTCTTCTGTCTCAAGTGAATATGTACATACAAAGCAGTATGCCTGTTAGTCTTCACAGGTTTGTAGAAGGGTCTCAGGTACTAACATGCAAAGGGTCTGCATAATTAGCTTTCACCTTGGAGCCTGAAGCATCCTGCTGAGAGTTTATTTGGACAGATGATGGTTCTGGATCATAGGCAGGGACCAGAATAGAATAAATTCAGTTACATCATTCAACTTTCTCCCAGACAGCTACATGCAATTTATACATGCAGACTCTTCCATCTTCCTAAATCCATTAGGTCACTTTCCAAATTTCCTTTAAGATTTTTATTTAAAATACAACTTTAATTGTCACACAATTTAGCTTTCCACAAATAACCTTAACTAAGCACATTTCATCTTTTTTTTTTTTTTTTTGGATTTATTTCTTTCTCTGTCTTAAATTTAATATTAATTAGTTTCTAACTAGCCTAAGTCCAAGTAAAATGCTATCACATTCGAAATTCTAAAAAAAAAACAATTAACCAACAAACAAAATGCTGGCTCTGTTTTATTATTAAAGAACATTTTCCTTGAACTTACTTGAAACCGATAAAAGGTGCCATCATCCTTTAGTGTGAGGACATGATCTGAGATTGGAAAGAAGTAGCCATGGGCAGCCATTAATGTTCCCAAATGGAGTGCCTCCACTGTTTGTGAAGACAAAAAAAAAAAAAAAAAAAACAAAAAAGATTTACAAAAAAGATTTAATTATTAATTTATCTTTTTATTGTTGACTTACAGGAGTATAACATTCTTTTCTCTTCCCTTTGAACACATACTTGTATTTGTATTCTTGGCATCTTGAAAACCTTGCATTCTACTTTTTCTTTCAGCTCTTTTATCCAAAGTACTAAGAAGATTGTGGCTCCTGGGGGATGAGTGAATGAGTGTGCAGTAAACACACAGCCTGCCCTCACCCCATGATGACCAGCCATGAGAAAATAGAGTTATGGACACTGAAACTGGAAGGTTATTTTTGAAATCACAGAATCCAGTCCCCCTGTTTTATAGATGGCATATGTTTTATTATATATTAAATTTTCTTCTGCTAATGATTCTATTTGACATCTCTATAACACTTTAAAATTTTAAAGCATTTTTACCTTCACTGACCCTGGCCTATGTTATGGATGTCTAATATTACTAGTAAGGAGCTCAGGTGGTGTAGTAGTTAAAGCATTCAGCAAAACGTCAGCAGTTCAAACCCATGAGCCATGGGAGAAAGATGAAGCAGTTTGCTTTTATAAAGATTTACAGGCTTGGAAACTCTATGGGGCAGTTCTACTCTTCCTCATAGGGTTGCTATGAGTCAGAATCAACTCAATGGCAGTGAGTGTTAACATTACTAGTGATTTTAGTAATGAAACAGATCAATATTATAAGATGTTGGCAGAGAATGGTGATGTATCTAGAACCATTTATGCTGCACTAAGTGAGCCTACCACATAACGGTAGTAAGGTCACAACCTATCCAGTAGTGTGTCGTATAGTGTTGGTTTGTGTATTGCTGTGATGCTGGAAACTATGCCACCAGTATTCAACTATTAGCAGGCTCACCTCAGGTTTCAGCAGAGCTTCCAGTCTAAGAGAAACTAGGAAGAAAGGCCTGGCAATCTACTTCTTTCTGAAAATTAGCCCATGAAAACCTTATGGATCATAATGGAAAACTGCCCAACTTGCTTGCTTTGTACATGCCACTAGTCAGGATCAAGTTTGGTGAAGAACAGGGACAGCAAGGGTGAGGGAGACCCTTGGTGATACGGATTTCCACAATGGCCACAATGATAAACTTGAACATGTGGTTATTGTGAGGTTGATGCAGGACCAGGCAGTGTTTCATTTTTCTGTAAAGGTGGTTGCTATGACTTGGAGTGACCCAACGACAGCTATCTATCCCTACTTGAGGAGTCTATATTCCCATGATTGATTGTCCAGAGTACGTTAACTTCTATTATTGTATAATGATTATGAAGAGACATATTTGGCATTTAAAAAATGGTATTTTCCCATATTCTAGGAAATAGTTGAAATGTAATACTATAATACTCATACTCTTTCTATAGTAGCCAGTAACCTCTTAAAATAAAAAGGTTAATAAAATTTGGTCAATAGAGTTATTACTGCCATGATGAAAGAACATAATATTTACTAACTTAAAGATGAGAACATCCATTTAGTTCAAGATCAAGGTCCTCTCAAAGCATGTGGAACTCATAACTACATACCCCTCTATTCTGTGATTCTTGTGAAAATTCAGAAGCTAGTGGGAGGCCCTCTGGTGGTGTATAGTGCCTAAGGCATTTGACTGCTAACAGAAGGCTGGCGGTTCAAACCCACCAGCCACTCCTCGGAAGGAAGGTGGGGCAATCTACTTCTAAAGTGATACCGCCTCAGAAACCCAAGGAGGGGTAGCTATGAGTCAGATCCGACTTGACATCAGTGAGTTTGGCTTTGGTTTTGGTTAGTGTGGGTTGTGGGAAGAACAAAAAATTTGGAGACACCCACTACCTATTGTTACTTAAATTATCTGTGCCTCTGCCACCCCTCGGAAGGAAGATGGGGCAATCTATTTCCGTAGTGATACTGCCTCGGAAACCCAAGGGGGGGTCACTATGAGTCGGGTCCGACTTGACGGCACATAATAACAACAACAACCTCCATTTATTAAGTTAAGGTAGTAAACCCACCTTGCAGGGTTGGAATGAGAGTTAAATAAGAATGCTTATGAAGAAGTTGGCATAACCCTAGTGCATAGTATATAGTTAATAGATGGTAGCTATACTGCCTTCAGTGAGCTCTTGTGGCACAGTGGTTAAAGCATTCGACTGCTAGCCAAAAGCTCACTGGTTTAAACACACCAGCTGCTCAGCAGGAGAAAGATGTGGCAGTCTGTTCTGCAAAACTTTATAGCCTTGCAAACCCTGTGGAGCAGTTCTACTCTGTCCTTTAAGGTCTCTATGAATTAGAATTAACTAGATGGCAGTGGGTTTTGGGTTTATACTGCCTTTATTATCTACATGTGGAATGATTTTTTTTTTTTCCTACTCTCATGGAGTCCTTGTCTTCAATTATGCTGAGTACATAACCCAAGCCATGATCTTTTCAATTGTGTCATATGCATGTGAAAGCTGGACAATAAGACAGAAGAAGAATTGATGAATTGGAACTATGGTGTTGACAAAGAATATTGTACATATTATGAACTGTTAAAAGAACAAACAAAACAATCTTGAAAAAATAAAACCAGAATGTTCCTTAGAAGCGAGGATGGTGAGACTTTTACTTACTTTGGTCATGTCATCAGGAAAGACCAATTGCTAGAAAAGGACATCATGGTAAGGTAAAAGGCCAATGAAAATGAGGAAACCTTCAATGAGGTGGATTACAGAACAGCCACAACAAAACATACTGACATTCATGAAGATGGTTCAGGTCCGCAAAAGGTTTTGTTCTGTTAAACATAAGGTTTCTATGAGTTAGGTCTAGAGGGTGACTGAAAACAACAAAGTCTGAGCAAAATAAGAGCACTAAGAGCACTTGATAACTAACCAATAACAATAAACAAATAGAACCTGTCAGGAAGCATTGGTCAGAGCAGATATTACAACAAGTATTGGATTATGAAGTCAAGTGGCCCATACACCATTATAGCCATCTTTATTTCTTTTATTCTCAGCAGTCTGTAGTCTGGGGAAATAGTATTAACACTGCTTTCCGGAGAAAGAAACTGAGTGAACAGCATATGACTAGGTTTGCAAGGTACAGACACAGAAGGGAAAACAGAGGTGCCTAGAAAAGTAAAGAGTGAAGAACTTTTGAACTATACACATTGAAAGGAGTGCATTAGGATCAAACAAACAAATGAAATAACCAGTTGGGCTTTAAAGTGGTGATGAGGATTAGGGAAATATAGGGAGACTAAAGAAAAGAAAGCCAGAAATGAATGTGTTTATGTGTTTAGGAATGCTATCATCTCACTAACTCTACCACAGATCATACATTTCTAGGGGGCAAAGTCTATATCTGCAGATTTTTCTTCATTTAGGCCATAATTAGACCTTAATAAATGTTGCTGATAAGAATGACAACTACTGAATTATCTAGTGATTTTTAGTCCTCTTTTATTGAGGTACAATACCCATTTTTGTTTTTTTAACTTGATTCTACCATTCATTTTACCATCCTTTCAAAAAGATACACATGCTCTACAGTTTTATGATTAAGGAAAATTTGTTTTGACAATTTTCAGCATGCCTTGAATTCAGCAGAAATACATTTTTGTGGGTATTGATAAGTTCAAAATATAGTTTCTACATGATATATATACTTCAGATGTTCAAGTCAAATCAAAACATTTTGCTTCATATTTAGAAGTACTGGACTTCTAACTAGGGCTCTGGGTGGTATAATGAGCTTGACTATAAACCTAAAGGTCAGCAGTTTGAACTCACACAGTGGTGCTGGTGAAGAAAAGCTTGAGAATCTTCCACAAAGATTACAGTCAAGAAAACCCTATGGAGTAGTTTATGTGAAACATGGGATTGCCATGAGTGTAATCAACTCCATGGCATCAGATTTGGTTTTATGTTTTTGAAGTTATAATTAATGTTTATAAAATGATTTTGAGACTCTTCATCAAACAGGAGAGACTGAGATTACAGAAGTTGTGTGCTCCATCACAGGACATCCAGAGAATTTACTGGTTCCAGGAAGTTGGGTGATTTCCTGCCTCACTAAGATGGTAATTTTGGTGCTAACTAGGCAATATGAAAAATAGTTACTGAATCAATATTTGCTGAATGAATAAGTAACTCAAATTTCTTATTCAAAAAAATTAGAAATAAATGACACACCAAGAATATGAAAAACATAGTTCAGAAAAAATACCAAACAATTTTTTTTTTGTAATGATGAGCGGCTTGTTCAGTTTTTCAAGATAATGTAGGAGTTCATATTATCTTTTCAAAATACCTTCATAAGCTTTGTTGTAGCCATTTTGTTATAAGAAAAGATGAGAGTGATATTAATGGCATAAATGCCACTAAGAGACTTTTGAGTGGGGTTGCGGTAGTGTTTTATGTGTTGGATTGTTTATTGTTAGTGATAAATATGCAGCCACATTACCCAACATCCCACTGCTTCCATACCTTGGCACAGTCTTAGTCTAATAAGAACTTGGAGGACAGACCGTGGTCGGCCTTGGAATGAAATGTTGGGAGAGTTTAATGAGAAATCTATCAAGATTGCCTTCCCAATAATGGCACACCAGATGGCTTGGTGCATTACACAGCTTGGCAAAACAATCACTAAGGAATCTTCTTGCACATGTGTTGTTTGCTTCACACACACAGCTAAATAAAATTCAACAACAAACCTACCATAAAATTCTAGTTTATTTTTCATTTGGATATTCAAGCCATAAAGAAATTGAGAAATAAAAACTCCATCTCCTAACAACTACTACCATGTAAACCTCCTGGAGATTTGCTAAACCTCAGGTATTCATAGCATTATTGCAAACTAATCCTTCAAGCAATAGAATTATCAGCAACCTTTAAAAGCAAAGGAGATTCTACATGACATAATTTTCTTTGACCACATTTTTTCAAATAGTTATTAGAAGAAAATCATGTCATAAAAGAGGGCT